TAGATAAAATAATACAGTAACTACTGCGCCTAGATTTAACTATCTGGTACCTACTGCGTATAAATACGATCATTCGGTAACCACTGCGCATTAGCACAGTCGTTAGAAAGGTCTCGATGAAAGGGACAACTTTTGTTTTATACATAATACCTCTATCTAGCATTAAGGTGCGTACTGACTTGCAACAAAACACTCCGAACGAACCAAACGCACCGCGCGCGCTGCGCCGAATGCCACAAACATGTTTGTGAAGGTTCGTGCCGTTCGCGAGCATTTGCTGTGTTCGTCGCGTTCCCGCATTTGGTGTGTTCGTCAGGATGGATGCAGATGATTTAATAATAATAGCGGCTGGTGCTTTTTTAATTATAAGTGCTTTAGTTAGTAATAAGAAGAAGAAAAAAAGAAAAAAGTGGTCAAGACGTCATCTATTTTTATTAAAATACAGCCCATTTTTGGCATCCCATAATAAATATTCATCTATTAATTGAAGGCACTTTTCCCTGCTCCATTCCATCTTTGCACTTTTAATAATTAATTTAAATAAACAAACAGGCCAAACACGGCAAACACACGTTCTCACTGCAAAGTTGCGAACTAATCGTTCGGCGAAAATCTCTTTGCGCAAATCCGATTTACCGACAATCGCCCGAAAAAGTTTGGCGCGTTCCGTTCTGTTCGGCGCGAGGTTCTCACTAGCACAATTTGTTGCAGCGCGCGCGGCGCGTTTGGATCGTTCGGAGTGTTTTGTTGCAAGTCAGTACGCACCTTTAGTAAACAGAAAGAAAAAAACCGATGAAAAAATTAATTTTATGGATTTTTTAAATAGGTACTAATTTTTCTTATCATTGCTTAAGTTAATAGCTGGATGAGTAAATAAATATTAGAGCTTTAAGGGCTTAAAACTTTTGTATTTATTGAGTTTTTATTCGAAGTGTATACGTACAGAGCAGTGTTGCCAACAGTCTGAAAGTAGTTTCCGCCGAAAGCAAACTGAAAATCCGCTAAAAATCCGCCAGATTTAAAATTATTCTTGGAATAATAAAAAAATATATTGTATTTGCCAATGGGGCGGGGTCGGTTGGGTTGTGTTGTTGAGTTTGAGTACATTTCTATAAAACGCGCATGTCTAGGAGCCAGGGAGCCAAGATAATTCGGTGCCTCTAGACGCTAGCATTTCAAATATATGGTACCTAATGTTTGAAAATAAAATGAATTTAAACCATATAACACTATAGTATACTTAAATTAATAATACAAGTCAACGCGTCTCTGTATATTGATATTTTTTACAGGGACGCCTCTGTACATAACCGTAACTTTATCAACAGAGGCGCCTCTGTACATAACCGTAACTTTATCTACAGAGGCGCCTCTGTACATATACACTTCGGTTTTTATTTATTTTATGCAAGAAAATTTTTTAGTAACAATTTTTTACAACTGGCAACGCGCAGCTACTTTGTTGGTTTGTATCTATGTACTCACAGAACACAAGTGTGTAACCAGTGGCGTATCACAAAAAATATAAAAAACTTCCAATGCATATATTTTCTTTATCTTTGGGAAAATATCTTTTAAAATATTTTTCCATTACACCTTATGTCAAAAGGTATTCAGTATTTTAATATATAACATTAATTACATTACACCCTGTATATTTGTATTCAGCGTACAAATTTAAAAGTAATTTTTGGTATTTGGCGTATTGTTGTGGTGTCAGTGAAATTTTATATTTCCTATTCCTATATACATTTTTCGACGCGGACGACGATAACATTTTATTTTCCATATTTCTCTGCCATAAACCAAAAATTATATTTCTTATAACTGTTATATATTATATTACTGTTATATATTTATTTTTTATTTATGTTCTCTGCTGTGCAGAAAGTAGTTTGTCAAATGTCAGTAAATCACAAATCATAACCTTGCGTAACCATTGTCACTTTTTGCTGCTACCATAGAAATAACAGTGTTATTTCTATGGCTGCTACTGAGGCGCGTTCCAATTTTACTATTGCGTCAGTATACTGACGCAATAGTAAAATAGTATACTGAATAAATTACAGAACGGTCTTTTTTCGCTACTGACAGTAAAATTACTGATAGTAATGGCAGTAAATTACGGAACACAACCTAAATTAGGTAAATTTAGGTTATATACAAATTTTCTAAATCATTTGCTTACATCGCCTAGGTTAAGCTTACATAAATTTCTGTGGTTTGGTTTTAAGAAAAGCAAAAAGTGGCATAATATACATACTATGTAAAAGCTAACTAAAAATCTTGTAAACACAATGAAAAAAAACAATGCCAAAACAATTGGTATACAACATAAATTATAAAAACCAGCTATCGTGGTCAAAATACAATGTTGCCAAATTCTTGCTGTTATAAAATGTTTTTTTTATACAATTTATTAAAAAGTATTTATATATTTCCCAAATAGGGACAAAAATATGGTATTTTTTTAAACCGGCAATGACGCATGCGCCTCAATGCAATCACCCGTGTAGTTCTCACTTCCCCTACTTTAACCCCACGAAATGGGAACGGTTTCAGTTAGAAATGATATGTATACATATGACACATTGTGTGGAAGTATGGGTGTGGGCGTGGGTAATGGATGGCAATACGCCTAATTTTATTCTCTAACCAACATTCATTTTCAATGCTTTGGTATATAATCACTGGCGCTAATCTCTTACCGTAATCTCGTAGCATAGAGATTACGGATTATTTTCAACCAATGGGATGCGAGTTAAGGTTCACGTGTGCTGTCTGTCAATGTGATTTATAACCTTTTGCTTATGTGCTATTGCTGGACCAATTTTAATAAAATGCAATAACTGTTAATAAAATAAAATAAATGAGTAATAATAATAAAATAAATATTAATAATATAATAAATTACAATAATTATTATTTTATCCATATATCCTGTGAAGTTAAGGAAACCTATTTGTTTTGCAAATCTATAAAATTGATTGTGATGGACGAAAAATTAATCAGTCTGGTGGAAACATTTCCACATGTATATGACAAAAATTAGAGAATAATTCCCATTATAAACCGCAAGCCAATAATTACGAGAATACAGATAAGAGATTGCGGATTAGAGACTATGGTTATTGCCATTATAAACCATCCATTAGGCTTCCTGAAGTGGTAGACCCTGAATTTACTAAATTCAAATTTAAATTTTATATAACATTTTTATAATTCTAAATATTTTATGGCCTTATTGACTTACCAAGGACCAAGTGGCACCCTGTTCAGGATATTTAGTAGTACCAACATAATGGGAATTTTAACTTTTTTCTATGTAATTTTGTATTAGTGGATATGGAGCATTTCACGCCAAGCGGGCAATTTTGAAAGCAAAGTTGTTAAATTTTGTTCATATTTTGGTAGGCTGTACCCCTAGGGGGTTTTATTATTGATATAAAATTATTTAACCCTGCTAAGCCTAGGGACCCTGCTAGGGGCTTTTACATTTTCGTCATAACGTAGTGCATGATATATTTTAAAGGAGCCTAGCTTATTGAAAAATCGTCGTAAAAAATAAATAAAGAAAGACATTTATAGTAAATTGTATGCTATTTTTCCTTATGCCCTTAAATTTAAAATTCCTTTATTTATACAAAATTTTGTATGAATTATCTATACATGTTTAGCGATTTTTTAAGCAATTTAAAAAAATTAAAACTTGCCGAAATTTAAAAAATAATTTTGATATTTTAAACCATTTTTTTATTTATAACAAATTGGAATTTTAAATTTGAGTGTATAACGAAAAAAAAACATACAATTTACTACAAATATCATTTTTCATTTTTTTTCTTCGAAGATTTTTTAAGAAGCTAGGCCCCTTTAAAATACACCATGCACGGCGTTTTGACGAGTTCCTAGGCTTCGCAGGATCAAATAATTTTATGTCAATGCCAAGACCCCCTAGGGGTAGAGCATAGCCAAATATGAACAAATTTAAACAACTTTATTTTTAAAGTTGCCCGCTTGGCGTAAAATGCCCAATGCCAATGAAACAGTCACCTTCCTTTTCTTTGTAGGAGTGAGCGGGCGCAATCATAATTGATAATGTTTTTAAAAATGCATGCTACCTTGAAAATTTCTTTGACACAAAATGTAGCAAAACACTTGCAAAATGTAGTAAAACACGGTTAAACCGGAAGTAACAGTAACTTTGTTTTTTCAAATGGAAACTTAAAAATATTATTGCACTTTTAAGCTCTACGTGAAATTCTGGAGCTATTGCATTTTGAAACTTCAATTGTTTTTGAAAACTTTAATTTTTTCAAAAAAAATTGACAGATGGAGACTTCATCATGGAGTTGAAAAGAATAATATTCCGCGTCGAATGGTGTGAACATTTTAAGGTCGTTTTAAATAAAAAATGCGGTTCAGTGCATTGCAAATATTTTAGAAAACGGCTAACCCTGCAAACATATATTTCAGAATAATTTATCTTTTTGTTCTCTATTTATATGTTTATAAACCTCTAAGGTTTGTCCCGGGTAGGTAAAACGACTCTTGTAAAAGGTAAACAAATTTCGATTTAATTTTTTTACTTATTTTTCGGCTTAGCCCTGCCGGTTTTTAAAAATCAAGTATGCTTTGGAAAAACCCATTTTTATCTAGAGTAAAGTGCCTTTAATATGGAAAATACTACAAAAATATCCTTGGCCAACTATGATTTTTTATTTATTTATTATTAGTAGCTTTCTTATAACAAATACGTCAAATATAGTCGCCGCGGCAAATGTTTTCCGTTCCGTTGTCAATTTTAAATATCCCTACACATTGTATGGTAAATATCCTAGGTTTCTCAAGAAGAGTTCTTGGAAAGTACTAACCATTTAACTGATTGAATTAAAACCAATAGCACATATGATATTTTTGAATAAAAAAAAATAATGAATATTCATATAAATAATTTATTTAATTAATAGTTATAGTTATCCATATCCTTATTTTTTTAGATCGAGCAGGCAGACTCGAGCAACGAGAAAAACTGCACGACCATCTGCGCATCGTGGGACCTTTCGGAACCTTCGTTTGGCCCTTTTAACGTTGAGACGCCCAAAGATCTGAAACAGTACATGACAGTCGCAGTAGACCTGGTAATACGTTGCATTAAGGAGCCGGTGAGGTTTTTAATCGAAACCCCTGTGAGAATTCACGGACCGAACGAAAGAAATTTCTGGTATTTCCAAAGGAAAAGTCTTACTCAGCAGTTCTTCCTTAACTTGAAAGAGGTCAGTGAGAATAAATGTTTAGGCTGTTGCAAAAATAAAAGTTTCGTGCCCTATTAAAAAAAAAACGTTATACTAATAAAACATGCTTTATTTTATATTTATAAACTATAGTTTATTTTTATAATTAAATTGCATGAATGCATAGATTGCATCACAACTAATGTTCTTATTATACATTGCAACAAGAAATTCCAACGCTAAATGAAAGTAGGGTTTGGTGATAATCAGGCCAATTCACTAACATAAGTGGTTAACGTTAGCCACTAGAATCAGTGATTATTTGCCAAACCGGCCAATCAGGTCGATTAAATATAACGATAACCACTAATTCTAGTGGCTAACGTTAATGACTTATGTTAGTGAATTGGCCTGATTAGCTCGCGTTTTGTTTTTATGACCTCTTAAAGTTTCCTTTTTAGTGGCGAATTTTTTGACTGTTTTGCGACTAATAAAACAAACAAGTGGTATTGTATCATTAAAAAAGCAAAATATGGTAAATCCTGACCAGTGACAAATTCATAAAAGGGGGTTTTCGGGTCCGGACGGAGCACTATCGCTATAACAAATCTTTCTACATTTTTCCAATTAATGTGGAAGATTAAAAATTTAACAATGAAAAAATAATTTTTTAAACCCTGTATCTTAGTGAGGAAGCATTTTAGGATTTGTTTTGGCTTTGGACTGTTGTCCATTTAAAATAAAAAATTACAATATTTACCATATTTTGCTTTTTTTATTGATATAATTAAATTCACTCGTTGAATTTTATAATTTATTTATTTAATTGACTTACTAGTTGCAAACACTCAAAAAATTGGCCACAAAAAATGCATCTATTTTTATTTAGCATTGTCCCTATTAGCAATGTATGCAATGTCCCAGAAATTAATTAAAAACATTAAATATTTAAATTAATTTTAAACATTAAATATTTAAAAAAGCAATTATTATTGCTTTGGATTTGTTGTTTCCTTATCAGTAATATTGGGTGGTCCAAAATTTAATGGAAAATTTACATATAGATAAAGAAAAAATTGGCACAAATAAGATTTTATAAAAGACGGGTCACATTCTCGTTATGACCCGTTATATGCAACTTAAATAAAAAAATTCCCTTAAATTTATCTTTTAAATGACCATACACAAAATGTTTGAGATAAATTAAAGCTAGTCTTACACACAGGTCTTGCAACCCTGTGTTTTGACGTGGGCCTCTTAACGTACGACGAGGAGTACCTGTCTTGTCTCAAAAAATAATCACTACAACTTAAATCCACAATTTTTTTTAACACAACTCACAAATAACATTACATTTTCGAAAACCAACGTGAAGTACATCACACACGAGATGCTAAATGCCACTGGTGGCTCCACTTACAGCGCAGTCTCACTAGAGGCACACTAACATGCCCCGATTCGAAATGTTAAAGGCACGTTAGTTACGTCATAAAACCAAACCAACCCAAACTCAACAACACAACCCAACCGATCCCGCCCATTGGCCCCCCCCCCGCCCCATTGAGCAAAAAATCCAACTAAAATGGGCAAATTTATGTTACGATAAAAATAAAACACTTTTTAACAAAGGAACAACAAATTTATGAAATAAAAAAAGTTCGACAACTTCTAGTAGATTTTATGTTACGATAAAACTAAAACAAACCAACCAACCCAACCGAACACTGTTTAACAAAGAAACAACAAATTTATGAAATAAAAAAATAAAAAAAGTTCGACAGCTTCTTAGTATCGAACCCGGGACCTATCGCATGCCAAGCGACCGCCCTACCATCTGAGCTATCTACGGATTATAGTTATAACGTAACTAACGTGCCTTTAACATTTTCAATCGCGGCACATTTGTCAATTAAGCGATCATGCGCAGTAAGAGGAGCCGCCAGTGGCATTTAGCATCTCGTCATCACACGGGATAAGATTACAAATTTTAGGTTATGTTTATGTACCCCCCACAAAACATAACATATGTACCCCTTCTATGGATTTTGCTTGGACAGTGGAGTCACTGCAAATTGACCAAATCCGGTAATTTGGTCAGTTTGCAGAGTATCTAGACATTTCGCACATTGCTGGATTTTTTACATTCCTGGTTTTTTTACATTCCTGGTAACATATATATTGTTTATGCTCAAATTAAAATCGGAATCAAAATTTTTACCATAACATTATAACTAAAGAGTCAACCTACAATTCAAAAATATATATAAAAATCAGAGGAGCGGTTCGCGAGGAAATCAAGTTTAAAATTGAGGCCAATTTCTAGTGGACGTTTTTTTGCTGGTGAGGTACTTTTTAGTTAATAATTACAATAATACATATACATTTTAGTAGTAAATATAACTAATGATTTGATGAGAATTGGCTTGTTTATTTACAGCTAAGTGCAACGCGCTTTGTAAAACAATGTAAAATGAGTTTTCATTCTGCACCTCTGACTTTGTTAACATCATTACAGATAGACATTACTTGGATGACGTGATTTTAGCCGTGTGACTTTTAAGACATTATTAGTAATGCCCATATAAACAAGATTTCGAAGAAAAATCTTAGCAAGGACTTTTTCCGAATTAAAACCCTAATTTGACCGGGCTACATTAGATTGAATTCATTTTAATCATTTACAAATGGTAGGTAACATTCTTAGGTCACCATAAATTAGGTTTTTAAAAGTAGTACAATTCAATTTGGGTAAATTATAAATTAATTTATATAAAATAAAAAAATTTCGTTTTATTTTTTTAAATAGTTTGCCCATCCAAGTCCGAGTTGCCAGGGCGCATTTTACCTCCAATCAAAATAATATTCCAGAATATAAATAGGTCAATAATCCTAACAGTTTGTCAAAATATAATTGGTATTTGTATTGTATTTTAATATTTTATTAAATTAAAGTTAAAGTTTTAAAACAGACTTGGAATGATCATTACATTTTATTTTTAATTAAATTTTTTAAATGGTTAGGTTTAGGGATTCAAAAACTAGTTCTATGATCTGAATAACCTATAAAATTTATTGTAGTATAAATAATAATATTTTTGATTGTAGGTAAACTACCCTCTTTTGGTGCATTAACCATTTTAACTATTTTTTATTTATAAATTTTTTGATTCAATATTGTTCAAACAGTTTATTTATATTTTTTTGCAAATCGTTCTGTGATATTTATCCCACTCCTTAAAAGAAGCCGAAATGTCCAATTAAAAGATAAATTGTCGCAAGCAATAAAATACGACAACCTTGACGTTATTTTTATGTATTAAATAATTAGCTGATATTTCCAATTATTGATAACAATTGCTAAAGGCGGAAATTAAAAATTTTAGAACACATCAGATAATGCTATCAGCAAATTATTATTTATGCTTATGTTGTTGACCTTATAACAAGCAATGATTAATAAAAGTTTACTATTGTTTGCAAACAGTGTAAATTGTACGTTTTACAAGATAGTTTAAACATAGGTCACGTCTGCCGAATTGAACGATGTGTCCTACGAGGTCCTAAACATGGAAACTTCAGGCGAGTTGGATAGAAACTTGTTGAATCTGAATCTTAATTTGTCCAGCCTTATACAATCACCCAGTATTACGTCTATTGATACTTTAACTCCCAAAGAAGAATATCATTCAGGTAAAAAATACAATTTATTGCTATGTGTAAGTGTTAAATCTATTTTTGTGTGTATTTTTACATCGTTTGTGTACGAGAAAATATATGTAAGGGGTTTAAAACTTTATTTTAAAAAATCTCATTTTTATTGTTTATTATTACAAAGCTTAAGTGACTCCAGGGGATGTTTCTTGAAATTTGCAACTTTAATTTCTATATAAAGCAATAAACCAATCGGAGAACTGCATTTTCTGTTGCTAAAGTGCGATTGGCTAGTACTACAGAAACCCCTTTCTATGTAAAAAAAAATAAAAAATCACCCTCTGGAATTGTTCTTCTATATTGTTCGAATTGTTTTACAAAGTTTTCGTAATTTTTAACTTTTCTTACATTTACATACAGTGTGACCCAATTTTTTTGCGACTCAACCCTGTAAAATCTTTATTTAATTTGCGATTTTAACCGGATTTGTTTTAAAGTGTAGATCTTGATAAACTGTATTTTTTGAGCAAAAAACGCCATATTTGTACAAAAATTTTTTTTAAACAAAATCTAAGCACGGCACTGGATTCACCACCCCTTAAAACTACCCTATACTAAATTTTATTGAAAGTACAAAAATGCAAAATAATAACAAGAAACATTTATTTTCAAGTTATCCATGAAAAAAACATTGAAATAAAATTAAACTTATATTAATAGTACCATGTCAGATTTTACAGGGGTGAGTCGCAAACAAATGGGTCACACTGTATATATTATTTTAGACAAACTGAAGTTTATTATTAACTTTGTAAGTGCAGTTTCAACACAAAGCATTTTAAACCTTATTTGCTCACAAATCAGTCAAATCTTTCAATCACCGTAGATTGGGGTTACTTGGAACACTTTTAATAAAAAAAGTTACATAAATAAACAACAAAAAGCATTTTTTTCGATATTTAAATGACAAAGTGTGTACGAGTACCTTTTAAATTGATACATATATATACCGCAAATTTAAAATTCACGAAAGCTATCGAATTAAAAAAAAAGTTAGTGTTCCAAGTTTTGCTTCGTTCTGATAACTTGGAACGGATGAAAATTTGTATCATGTTTCTATGTTTTACTGCAGAAGGGCAACTAGGAACGCTTTTAAATTAAAAATAAATGCATAGGGCATCTTAGAAGGCTTTTAAATTAAAAATAAAATAAAACCCTGCTTCTAGTACGAAAACAAAATAAAATTTAACAGTCTTAGTCAAAAAATGTTTATTTTATTAAAAAAAATGTCACAAAATTAACATGTTCCAAGATACCCCACAGTTCCAAATAACCCCACTCTACGGCAATTGATTTTCAATGTTCAGATTATTTAAAAGAGATATACTGTAAACAGGGAATTTTGTTTTTTTATCGACTTTTGTATTCTGAATATTTCTTCTATATTTATCCAAACTGCATTAAAAGAATAAAACGTTATAGCATTTTCATACAAAAAATATAGGAAACCAAATTTTTCCACACTTCTAAATTAATCTTGTTTGTCCCAAATTAAAATTATCAATAACAGTACTACTATCGATGCATCGCGATGTGAGCAGAGATTAACTGAAATCTCAGTTAACTTGAGGCGCCCGGTATATTATCTTGACTTTCCACAAAACGTCAAAATATGCAAAATTTTACAAACACTTAGCTTAAGCCTTCCAAAATAACGTAATGTTCGCTTCCGCTTAGACAATTTCTAAGGTTTTCCGTTTGGTTAATGGTTAGGATATTTTTAGATGGAGACGAACCTCTATTAAGCGGGACAGGACTTGTCTCTAAAGATTGTTCCGAAGACGTGCTCGAAAGTTGGGCGGACGTTTTAAACAAATGGAAGTCCACAAAACAAAAACCTAAACAACTTGCCGGATTGGTCCGTATGGGAATCCCCGAGGCACTGAGGGGTGAAGTCTGGCAACGTCTAGCGGGTGTAGAGGAAAACTCGGAAATGCTGGAGAACTACAGAATATTAATAACTAAAGTAATATTATTACTGTAATAACCAAGATTTTAATGTCAAGGTTCTAAAGTACCACTATTTGATCTGAAAGGCACAAATTATTTTTTAATTGTAGATTTATCGTGTTTAAATTATACCAATTTTTTTAGGAAAGCAGTTGTGAAAATGTTATACAAAGAGACATTGCAAGAACATTTCCTGCTCACGATTTCTTTAAGGAAATAGGTGGCTTGGGACAAGACTCTTTGTATAGAGTTAGTAAGGCTTATGCTGTCTATGACTCCGAAGTTGGGTACTGCCAGGGGCTAAGTTTTCTAGCTGCTACTCTACTTTTACATGTAAGTTATAACAAAACCACTTGATACTAGAGTGGTAAATAAAGCCTTAAGGCTCTAATAATTCAAATTCAAATTGTATTGGGAACATATTTCAAATGAGTATTACTTCCACTTAGAATTATTGCTTTTATATTTTTTAAAGTTATTAAAAGGTTTATTAAGTGTTTGTCAGTGGCAAAATTAATATTATAGCGTATTAGTCACCATAGTACACTAACATGCATTTTTTTCCTTAGATGCCAGAAGAACAGGCGTTCTGCGTTTTAGTCAAGCTGATGTATGACTATGGCCTAAGAGATCTGTACAAAGATGGCTTTGACAATCTGTATTTGCGACTCTACCAACTGAACAGACTAATGGAGGAGCAGTTGGCGCCCCTATTTCAACACTTTAAAACTCACAACGTGGAAACGCATATGTTTGCATCTCAATGGTTTTTGACCCTCTTTACTGCCAGATTTCCCTTGTATTTTGTGTTTCACATCATCGATGTTTTTCTACTACAGGGTATTGATACTTTGTTCCAAGTAGCACTAGCTTTATTGATGGTAAGTTTAACTTTTCCAACCAACAAAAGTATGACCTTTCTAACTTAAGATTTATTTTAATCTGCACTAAAATTATACCCTAAATAAGCACTACAGCCTTTTCATTTAACAGGCGGACTAAAACTAATTAAATTAAGCACTATGCACGTGATATTTAAAAACTCAAACGTATTATTATACTATAGAACAATTTCTTCTATATCTATAAATAAGCCATTTAGCCCTCGCTTTTGCCATTGTTTAAAATTTGGCAACATGGTATTTTCATTCCCTTCCTTCAATGCCTACTTTATGGACTGTAGGACCTACAGTGTATTTTTTTCGGAATAAGAATTGGACTGAAGAACGGCATACCTACCTCAACTTTTGATTATGTCCTTGTTTTTCTCGTTTTCTTTTTATAAACGTTTAAATAACCTCTTATCTCCATAGTTTAACTTAAATTCACAACTTCACCTGCTGTGTCCATACTAGACCTTTTAGCTACCTAATTTATTTCATTTCATTTTAAATAACCTTTTGTAATCCGGTATTATAATATTGTTTGCACAGGTAAGGTAGATTAATTCTAAATACAAATTTATATGAGGAGCAGACTTACAAAATGTGTAAAAAATCAACTTTTGAGAAAAGGATGGCTTCCTGCCCTTGAAACTAAGGCGCATCTTCTAACGGTACACTGTACACCCTTAACTCGCCTAGTTCTATGTAAATCTTTAACAAAAGTTGACGTGGACATTTTGTCCTATACACACAGACATAGTACAATAAAATCACCGGAAAGGTACTGAGAGCTTTAGTAAAAATCAAACAGGATCAAATTTATTTATAATTATAATTATTAAAAGAAAATTTTACCACAGTTCTTATTATTATTTATAACTTAAAAATAATACTATTGGTGTTTATATTTTTTTAGTTGTGCAAAAAAGACCTTTTACAATTAGATTTCGAAGGAATTCTAAAATATTTCCGTGTATCTCTTCCAAAAAAATGCAGAACAGAAGAATCCGCCAAACAGCTGATTAAACTGGTCTGCAGCATTAAAGTCAAGAAGCTTAAAAAATACGAAGCAGATTTAAACAGCCTCAAAGGTAACAATTTCATTATTAAAGCAATTATAATATATTTTTAAAAATGTACTGCATTTTTAAAATTTTTAAACCTCATTTAAGAATTTGTAGTTTATTTTAATCAATGTAATTATATATAAATGCAAATTTTATATTTTTACATAATTAACATTATTTTAAAACTACTTATCATAAAAATACTTAAATTAGTTTAAGTGCTTACATTGAATGTATTCTTTACCTTTTTTTTCCTTAATTTCTGACTGTTTTCACTGTACTATTGTGGGTTGGTATTTATTTTTATTTTATTGCATTTGAGAATCACATTTCGCATGATTTAATCTACTATATTGCATTTTAAATTAGTGAAGTGGATTTTTGGTAAGATCAACTCATTTAAAAACACTTAACTTCATTAAAATATTATATATATTTTAATAAAGGACACGTCATCCCAATTATCACATAAGGGCATATCTCATATTCATTGGCGGATTTAACGGGCGGCAAATGCGCTGTTGCCGCCTGGACCCCCCAACAGAAAAGCTTAAGGCCCCTCCAGCTGAAATGTAAATTTCTTTAACCATGAATTTCAGTTATCTTTAAAACTTAGCCGCCTAGGCGGTTTTTCTTAAATCCGCCACTGCTAACAATTTTACAGAACATTTTTAAAATTGAAAGCTTTTAGCTAATTTAAATAATTTTTTTAGAAAAAAAGTTCTAAAAATAATAATCATAATAATAATAATTGATAGTTGCATTATTTTAACCTTCCGTCGGGCGCAACGCATCTATTAGATTAAAATTCAAAAATACATTTTTAGATTTACTAAAATAATTCAAATATAAACTCATTTTAGACCTAAATTTAAAAAAACTGCATCTTAACTAAAAGATAAGAAATTAAAAATAATTTTTTTAAATATATAAACAGAAAAAGCAACCAAGAAAAAGCCTAGTCTGAATCTACATCAGCGTAGTACTGTTCGAATTTAGATTTGTAACAATTTCTTGTCAACAAAAAGTTATGTAAAAAAATTTAGAATATTTTAGCAAGAAGTTTAGCGCAATCAATCTTTGAGATTCATTGCTTATTTCTAAGAACACTACTGCCCCCAGTTAAACTGCAAGTACAACCACATAACATAAGAGTACAACTAAGATGATCGAACGTACAGCGCTGGAGAAACTTTTGTCGTCTAGATATTTCCAGAAAATTTTTCCTCGCAATCTAATAGATTAAATGCGTCCGATGGAGGGTTAAAGCAAGCCCTGCTATGTCACAAAGACAGATTTCTTATTGGTTTATTGGATATTCTTTGTAACTTAATATTATGTATATTATTTCAATTAAGTTTTAAATGTGAAACAATTTTTTGACCCGTAGTATTGAATCCTTAAAGTTTAGAAATTATATTTTGTTTATTTTAATATTTTTTTCATGTAATCATAAAAATTTTAAATAGCCATACGGATATTAAGTAGGTACTAATGGAACAATAAAAGTTTTGTAAAAATTTAATTTGTTATTAGTAACTTATTACTATAACTAAATATTTCAGCGATATTTATTTAGAAAATTACATCTACAATACTAAAAATTCTGAAAATTGTTGGGTAACTTAAGAGTTAGCTAAACTTTACATGGACAAATAAATATTTAAGTAGTTTTTTTGTAAACAAATGCAATTTTGACCCACTAATTCATCTTGAAAAAATTCTTGGTGGTGTATAGTAAATATAAATAAGAACACGAAAATCGAAAACCGTTTGGGGATCTTATTAGTAAGTGCAAAAATACTTCTCTTTTAATTCATCTTGAAAAAAAATTCTTGATGGTGTATCGTTTTGTGCTCTCATTAGCAAAAATACTTCTCTTTATATTAAATTTTCGACTAAACATAAACTTGAAGATTAGTTATTCTTCCAAGTGCACCCCGTCAATTTTTTTCTGCTGTAGATTACAGAATAAAGCATAAACAAAACAAGCATGTAAAAAATACCTGCGAGTTTTTGTTTAAAGGGACTTTAACAGCCCAATCACGCGCTACCGCGTAAAATATAATCTTAAACATTCTATTTTATCATACCCAACAATTTTTAGAATTTTTCTAGTAGTTAAGTATTTTACAATGCATATGTAATTAACTTTCTAAATAAATATCGCCAAAATATTTAATTGTAAAAATAAGTTACAATATTAGTCCAACCTAATATCCGTTCAGGAATCCAATATAAAAAGCTTAAAAAAAATTAAAATCATTAATTTTTTTAGTCACACTGTCATTTCCATCTTATTTTAATTGGATAGTTCCATAACAACTATAATAATATTTAAATTATTTTATCTTTTAAGATACACATTGTTGTCAGTTTTTTTCAGATAAAGAACTTTTATTTTTGTGTGAAATTTTTACCGGATTCGGTCAATAATTTTTATATCGACAATTTAAAAAAACATTTAAACAAAATTGAATTAATAATTGCTATTAAAACAAATTTTTATTAAAAGTAATTGCGAGGAGCGTCCAGTTTATATAATTTGGAATTATTAATTTCATTAACCGAAAGTTTATCGAAAAATAAAGGTATTTTGTCAAACTTGGCTTCCTCTTTTAGGTAAAGGGTGTTAAAGTTATATATTTTTTAGGGTTTTCTTTAAATATTATTTTCTGAAATATAAAATATACATTATTCAAATTTTAAATGCATTTATATCTAAGGAAATACCTTATTTTAAATATTTTTGCTTTATAATATTATACTGGGTGACTTTTTTCCTCCTCATTGAACATTATTTAACAAAAAATTAGTTAAATTTAATAAAAAATTATTTATTTTAGTCTATTTATCATTACTATTTGCCAATAAGTCAAATTTCACAACAGGATTATTTTATAAAATGGTTGACATAATTTAACAAAAATATTTTTTATTTATTATCATTAGTTTTACCGTGCTGACAGCATATTTGAAATAATTAAATTAAGTCTTAATAAGGTTAAATAAAATAAAATGTCTATGATAAAAACAAACAAAATGCAAATGATAAAACATTATTATTTTAATACGCCATTGATAAATTTAGCGGTTGCCTCATTGTTTGCTTAAATTTGGTCTTATTATTTGACTTATTATTTCTTAATAACTTGAAGCAAGATGTAAAAAAATCAAGAGGCAATCATTTTGTAAATAGCCCAAAAGTTCCGGTTTAATAATGACTACATGGCCAGGAAAAAATTATCACTTGGTATGCTTTGAAAAATGTATTTCATTTATACATGTTTCGGAAAATGAAGGATGTGATTATTTGGCTAATTCTAAGAAAAAAGTTCCTATTAACAAGGGTCCGCTTTATGCACCATTTTCGGCATACAGGGTATCAAGAAATGTTTTTTTTGTTTTTTTAAGAAATCTTTAAGATACTTTTTGAGCCCTAATTCATTTTTTTATGCCAATGACGGATATTTTAGGGTTGCGTAAGGTTTTTGTTACCCTAATTTTTATGGCTACTTTACTACTTTTTTCATTTTTTTCATTTTATTTTTCGACATATGCATTGATAACACCCTGTATAAAAATGCATACCAAATTTATATAATTTATTTTTTTTATATTTGAAGGGGTAAGAAGAAAAGGGGTACAAGTGCATTTTAGCATGAAAATAAGTTAAGTGCAGATTTGGGAAGTTGTCCAATTTTCTTTTAAATTTTCTCATAACGTGAAAATTATACGAGTTCTGCATGTTGAATAATGAACAATATTGAAACAAGTATCCAGATTTTTGTATACAGCAAAAACTTTAAAAGTTTTGTACCCGTTCATTTATAAAAATAAAAATAACCTACAAAAAATATAACTATCTAGAGAGAAAGCAAAGTTAGTTTGTACGAGGTGTGTTCAGAAAATAACGGGAATTTTCGTTTTTTTTTTAATATTTATTTATTTGTCTACATTAATATTGTGGCCTTCAAAATAGTCCCCATAAGATATTATGCACTTGTGCCAGCGCTTCTTCCAATTCTCGAACCACTTCTCAAACTTGATACAAATTCTTTGATCCATTTCTTTTAACGAACGAAAATCGCCGAGCTCATACAAACACGTCTAACATTAGCGGTTGCTACAGACAAAGTAAACAATGAAAACAGCTAAAGTTTTTATCATGTTTCAGGGACATGTATAGTATACATTGTATATCAACATAATAAAGAAAACTTAATAATAATTAAAGAAAATTTTATGACAACCGGACTCTCTGAACCTGCGAAATTTTAAAATTCCCGTTATTTTCTGAACACACCTCGTATATATACTATATAACTACATAACTATAGGTATACCTTTATTTTTCGATAAAAATCGGCTGGTGAAATTCTGATGATATAAACTATTGGCAACAAACTTTTAAGATGATCTAACTAATATTAATAATAATCTTATTTTCAACTTTTTCGCTTCTGTTAGTATTTAGTGTCACATACATATATAACTTTCATATGCATGAAGAAAGAATAAATACTTTGTATGCAGATTAATTAATTTAAAATCCATTTCATTAATTTGTATTGCACAGCTATCTTGTAAATAAAAACACGTACGTGTAAATAGTAACAAATAAAATACCAGAGGACCACATAGTAGAATACATTGCTTAAGGTAGTGTTAGCTGTGTGTTGTGCCTCTAGAAAGCTGGGAAATTATCAATTTGGATTCAGAGGTTGCAGAGAAAAAGGAACAGGAGGCCAACGAGACGGAGCAGCTGCGTTTGGCAGTCACCCGCTATGAAGAAGAACGCAAGCTGATGTTGGAGGAAATTTCGCAGCTGAAAGATATGTTGAAACGGGAAGTTAACCAGGCGGAAACCGACAAAAAGAATAACATCGCTATCATTAATGATTATAAAATGGTCAGGCAACGTTTGGACACTCAACTGCATGCTGTCAGAGCCGAGCTGGATGGATTAAAGGTTTTTTTTGTTTATTTATAATACATTTTATTCCTTAGGGATATTGCTTTTTTAAATTTACTTACCTGACTTTTATTTTAAAATATAAATAACATAAATTATTTGGGTTAGATTCCAAACGATTTTTACCTTCTTTCATCTGGGGAGCACCTATCCATTTTAGATAAATTTAAAAATGATTAATGATAAAAAACTAAAAATTATTGCAATTTGCATTTTAGGTTAACATAGCAAACTGCGAAATATGCACAGCCTTTCTCGAAGTGAACAAGTCAGACACAAAGCAAAACATAAACGACCAATTAAATGAAGAAGAACGAGTTAGAGAGTTGGAATTAGAGCTTGCGCAGACCAAACTAGCCCATGTTGAAGCTGAATGCAGAAATCAGGTAAAAAGCATAGAAAAAGGATATAAATACTCTTAATTTGCTAAAGAAGCGATTAAACGTCAAAATACGATTGGCGACTACGTTTTGTGTTTTATTTTAAAATTGACTCTGCGTGGGCCTCGATGTTTGGGTTTGGGTGGGTTACCAGGGCTAAAAATACTTTTACAGGTTACCAACTTTGATTTTTTTTTTTTAGCAAAAATATTTATAAGAATGGATTCAGCAACTTCAAAAACATGTCAAATGATGACATGAAAACATTAAATAATAAGTTTAAAGCAAAATTCAGAAATCCAAACTTTTTATATCACCCCCACCCTCCAATATTTATCAAAAAGCAAAAACATTGTCAAAAATCTATTCAGCAGCCTCAAAAACTCCAAGATTAAGAACTTTCATGTTTTTTTTTTCATATAAATATCGCTAGATTTGTGATCCATCTCACTGTGGGGCGTTAGCAGTTTAATAAAGTATGTTGACCCTATAATGCAATTTTTAATTTTTACTGACAGTTCTGAAACTTCTCTAAAAATCAACACCATCTAAAATAAAATGAGGACAGTGGAGTCCGCAAATATAGACTTATCTAGTTCTGAGTGGACAGCCAATAGTGGTGACATCACAATCACAATTGTGGGTGACATTGTATAAAAGTATTCAAATCAAAATGTAAATAGCTTAGGCGTTGTTAAAATATTAATTTATCATAAAAAAAACTCGATTTATACTGAAGAAATAAGACATAAGTGCTGGCTTAAGTTGTGATTTTCGATGATCTAGTTTTTCTCCAAAGGGTGCAGATTTGTACGCCATTAACGTTTTTACTTTTTTGAATAGGTGTATTTATCTATTTATAGACAAAAATAGCTTTTTAAAAATAAGTGATTTAAAAAAATTTGCATAAATTATAAAAATCCAAAATTTGAAAATATTCATTTTTAAAGTTCCTGTATACTGGATTACACTTACCACGAATTTTGTAAAAAAAAAAAAACACTCGTACAAAAAGTAAGCGATTTCCGGTAAATGGCCGAAACTGGACGAAAAACTGCATTACGTAATACTTAAAAGCTCTCTTTTCGGCATCCGAAAAATTTGGTCCACTGATAGGTCTTGTTAGCATTTAGCAGAAAAAAGCGAATAACACAATAGTTAGTTAAAAAAATTGCTCAGAATTCGATTATGGATCGACGCGCAATCGGATTCTGAACAACTTTGAACGTTTAATTTCGGCCATTTACCGGAAATCGTTTATCTTTTGAACTGGTTGAGATTTTTTGATCAAATTTGGGGGAAAAGTGCTTCGGAACGGTAGTCGAAAACTTTTTTTTAGTGACTAATAAAGTGAACATTGATTGTACAATTAAATAAAGCCTTAAAACAAATATGATTAAATGGTTGTTTTCCAGTAAAAATGCTTATATCCTCTTTTCTTTTGTAGAATCTGACCCACCAACTCCGTGCCACCGAGTTGGAGCTAAACACGGCCAAAAACAGTTGGCCGCCCTGGTTGAGCAAGACGCTGAGTTCCATCAAAGAGGTGGCCAACAAGAAAGAGTTCACCCACTTCGCGTATCCGCCGAACCAGTTGCCGAACGTGAACCCCACCTTCATCTCGCACATCAGCGAGGCGAGGCGCGAGAGCGTGCCGATCAGACACGACAAACCGGCGATCGTTGCCGACGGCAGACGAGAATCGGCGCCGCCCTTAATCAAAGATTCGCAGAGTTGCAGCAGCCTGCAGTCTTAGATATGAAGTTTAATTTTTGTTTTATAGAGTGTGTTTTTATTTGAGATGATTCAATCATTTATACCTGTATTTACAAACAATTTTTATTGGATATTTAAATGTGTTAACTAATTAGTTTAAAACCTTTTCATTATTAAAATTATGACTACCTATTTAAACCCAACCAATGAGATTATTTTAAATTCAACAAATTAAATTAATATGTAACCAAAGTTTAAACATTGGTTTTCAAAAGAATGTACAAACGGTTAAGTGGATAACGTTTATCGAAAAGGAACCAAGCGCCAAAAACTTTTTCTGGGGTAAACAAAATAACTCATTTTTAATGCTGCTCAAAAAAATAATAATGATTTGGGAACCAAATGATGAACAACCTTTTGAGCATTATTAAAAATAAGTTATTTTACAAATAATTTTACTAAGCCTTCAAAAATTTTTTGGTTCCTTTTCGATAAGCGTTATCCAAATATATTTCAATAAACACGCTAAAGTGTGAATATCTTTTTCACTTAAATAAATGATATTAACTGGAAAGGTTGATTTTTCGATAATTCTCAAATTTGAATAGTTTGAAAAACTGCAAAATATCCAGTCTTGCCACTTAGACTGTCACTAAAAGTTTACTGGACCTTAGTGGATACAATAATAAATATAATGATAAAAAAAATCTGTATCAAATACCAAATATCTAAAAATAAGCTTTAAATTAAAATCTCATTTATGAAGACTGATTGTTTTAAAATGTTCTTCATATAATAATCAGACTTAAAATAGTGTAAAACTATTGAATCATACTCTACTTTTTTAAATCTTTTGTTAGGTTAACCTGAATGGATTTTATTTTAACAATTTTTCTAAATTATATTTTTGTTTAAAATATTGGTCTATAACGTAAACCATCTCTTATTATAGAAGATATGTTGTTTTATCTATTGGTTTTTGTTTGTGAGTTTAAACCAAGTACTTTAAAGATATTATAATTTAACGTTGACGTATTTTGTTAATAAAATTTGTACAATGCATAAAATGTTCAAAATTATTTTTTACGTGCACTTAATTTTATCATAGTAATAATTTTCATCAAAACAATGAATGATTTGAGCATAATTCACAAAATTTATCACCATAAAACACAAAATAATACACATATAACCACTAGTCATTGAAATCTATATTGTTCCATTGATTATGATTAAATTATTCATTGCTAGAAAACTCTAGCCATAACTTAGTGATAAACTTTAAAGTTAAAAGTGATAGATTTATGTATATTCTCTCTCTGTTATTTATGTATTGCTTTAACCTAAAAATGTATATGCACTTTTTTATTAAAAACATTAGGAAAAGAGTTTTATTGATTTATATAATAATGGGTGTTTAAAATATAACAACGTAAATTACGTTACATAATTGGTTAAATATACAATAAATTAATAATTCTCCTACTTAGTATTAGTCACAGCCTAAGTAAAAAAGATAAATATACCTTTAGAATCTATTTATTAAAAAATATACTTTTAAAATCTGCTAGCAATTCCCCCACCTCTACTATCAGAGTGAGATGTAAGATCATCTTTAATTTTTTCCACAATATTACTGCTACTGTAGGGCTCAAAAAGTGTAACAGGCTGAGACAATGTATTAAGATACATTAAAACTTCGTCGCTGAAGGCAGCTGCTGTAAAACCTAAAATACATATCTATGTAATAGTATATTTTATCAAGAGTCTGGAATATAAGCCATTACAGTCAGTGTTGCCAGATTGTTGAAGCGCTTTCCCCCAAATGATCCCGATGGAGCTCGATTTTCCCCCAGAATTCAGTGCTTCCCCCCTAATTATTAAACTTAAAATTTTAGTGTTTTACAGTGTAAAATTAGATGCTTAAATATACTGATTATACTTAACATAAATAAAAATTTTATTGGGGTGATAAATATAAATATTCTTGTCCTTTATTATTTAATATTGTAGATAGGACCTTTGTGCTTAGCTTGGCAGTATAATACTAATAATACTTAACTTTAATAAAAGTATTAATTCTAATAGTATTTCTCACAGCATTCTGACAAGGGCACAGATCATAAAGGACAATTGTCGAGGATTTCGTCCATGGAGCCTACACAAGGAGTCCGAACTTAATAGGGAAAATTGACAAAACCTGCCCACTAAATTGCACAAATTAGGTCTTGTTTTTTTACCACCAGCGGCGCTGATTGTCTGCTGTTTTGGTAGCTTTTCGGTACAAATCAAACAATCACCATGGTGCAGCGCACTCTTATCTTAAGAAGACTTTTGTATACATTCAGTTCAGACCGAGGAATAAACCACTTTAAAATCTTAAAGACCAACGTTCAATGTTAGTGGACGTTGTGTAATGATTTTTTTCCTTATCAGTCGTTATCAATAAGGAAAACTTGCTTAATCAGTGCTTATCAATAAGAAATTTCTCTTAGCGACGCGTTGCGCATGACTATTAAGACTAAAATTAATCTTAAGGATAACAATAACAAGGGTATACCCTTTTAATTGTTATCCTTAAGCTTAATTTTCATGTATCCGTTTGTCCGTTATCCGTTTTTCAATAAAATGTTCTAATTTCCATGCATCCGTTTTTAATGACGTTTAAAGGATTGATTTGGCGACAAACAGAAATTAAGGGTCAGTATATTCACTTTACTAAATTTACCTAATGCTTAATTGTCATAGTTACAGTTTTGTCCGGGGGGTAAACCACTTTAAAATCTTAGAGACCAACGTTCAATGTTAGTGGACGTTGTGCTGAGATTTTTTTTCTTATTAATCGTTATAAATAAGAAAAACTTGGTTAATCGTGACCATTGTTTCACAAGCAACGTACAGTACGGAAATGTCTTTACTAGGGGACGGTTTTCAGGGCCTCCGGACCCAAACAACACAGTACGTTTTAAAAATGTACATTTTTGGTTATATTTACGTACTTACGTCTTAAGACCAAAAAAATATGTATTAAGTACGTACTATATATTATGTACATAAAATGTAAGGTTCAGTCGTCTTCAGTACGTACATAGTATGTACAAAGAAGGTATGTGCAAAATACTTCTAAAGTATTCCTGGTTGCATAGTGTGTACCGATCGCGGCAAAGGCGGTGTGGATCACGTGATGTTCTTAAATCTCGCCTCTGTTGACTTACATGAAGAGTATATAGGCTCAGATTGTCCTTTACTTTGGTGTGACAATCCAAGTTGTTTGATACTAATGAGACCTTAAATAGGTGGAAACAGCTGTCAATTCTTGAAGAATTTCAAGTAGGTGAACGCAGTAAAAACATTTCCTCTAGAGAGCTGAAGGTTCAATATTCTGGAATAATACCACTGGTAGTGTACTAGTTTCTTGAAAAATATAAAAAAATGGTTTAAAAAAATGTTTTTTTATTTAGTCAAATCAGTCAAATGTATTTAGTTAATTAAATCAAACAAATAATAGTTGGGCTAACTAAAGCTTTTTTCTGTGTACGGAATAAAAGTACGATTTATTTATGTTCTTTGCATCCCTATTTTTGTAGTTCTCATTCTGCATACCAGATGCATCTTCGCTGTTCGATGCTACTTATTAAAATTTCAGTACCTATCAATGCGTAAACTACTCATTGTACAACACTGTTTTTGCTGACCGTACGTACTATATGAAATACTCTATATAACTAACAGCCCTTAATAGTCCTGACGGTACGCAATGAGCACGGGCTGTCCCGATGCCCGTGCCGACGAATCAGTCAACCGATGATACGCAGTGCATGTGAAAAAGTTCATTTAAACAATGGCCCCTAGTCATCAGGACTGACCATCAGGACTGATCGTCAGGACTTTATCAGTCGCATGTGAAACGGCTCTTAGCCGTTAATTCGTAAGCGATTTTTAATTTTTAAAAATCAGTAGTTTACCCCTCGGTTTTGTCAACAATTGTAACTTTAACAGTTAGCTGTATATATAAAAAGAATATACTAGCCTTAATATAGATTAAAATGTATAGTTTTAAAAAAGCAGGTTTTTTGTTTGTCTTTTCTTTGTTTCGGTTATTCTTATTAAATAAAATCATAACAGTAGAACATTATTCACACAACCAACGCAATGTTTCCGTTTTACAATCTTATTAAAAAATATTAAGATTTGGAAATAATAGTTATAACTAAATATATAAATATATATTTACAATATAAGTGGGATAAGCGCTTTATTAACGTACGCATGCGAAATTACGCAAAAGTACGTTAATAAAGCGTTATCACACGTATATTGTACAAATTTTTATCTACGCCTCTAAATGAAAAAATAAACGGTAATTATTTTTGTCTAAGACTTAATTTAGGGTTATTTTGACATTTTGACTTTTTTATTTGATTGGTTAAAAGCAGAGAAAAACGCGTGCGTTAATGAACTTCTTATCTCACTCAAAATGAGTGGGATAAGAAGTTCTTATCTCACTGGCGTAGATAAATTATCTTAAAATAACGTTAGGTGTCAAAAACAGGTGTGTAGTGAAGGATGACTCATCCAGGATGAGTTAATAGTATATTATGTATCAAGTTTGATAAACGCCATATTATACACGAATTTAATTTAGGCACGAGCGAGCTTGCGAGCGAGTGCTTAAGTTAATGAGTGTGTAGAAAAGTTTATAAACGAGGTGCATACTATACTTTTTCTACGACAAATACTTAAAATGATTTAAATCAAAAATTTGTATAGAGCGCCATCTATGAAACAACAGGGAAAACTGTCAAATGTCACATTTTTACATTTTATAAACACAATTAAAAAGGTTATAAATCGAAATGTATATTGAAAATTGACAGTGTTTCACAGTGAAAGTAAAGGAAATGTTTTATGAGGACTTTACAGTAGAGTCCTTGTCCGAATTTAAGTTTATTGCCGGCGAAATTAAAAGGTCAGTACAAATATTCATATAAACTTTTCAAATATTGGCGTTGAGAAACTATTTAATATTTTTGTATTTTTGTAGGTATTGAGATAAAATAATTTTCACATTTTGTAATATTTAAAAAAAAGGCACTTTATTTTAACAATTGTATGACATTTGACAACTGTCAACTAACTTAAAACTAACTTCAGCCCGTGACTAAAAACCTGTTGCTAACTTCAGCCCGTGACTAAAGCGCCATAAAGCCACATCTTGTCAATGTGTATATTTAAAAGGTCACTTAGTGTCATGGAAATATGTACGATAAAGGGCGTTTTAAAGGTGGGAGTAGAAAACATTATTTTTCTTACTACCTCGGCCGAAAATACGTTGTTTCGTCCCAGATTCCACGGCAGAAAGTTTACGTTTGATGCATTGGTCAAGCTATACGTATTTTCGGCCGAGGTAGTAAGAAAATGTAATTTTTTATCCTTCTACAAAATAAAAAATATACAAATATATCGATATATGGTCAAGCTATACGCGCGACCTGTATAATATCGCTCGTGCCGCAAATGTCGGGGCAGGCATCAATATGTTTTGATATACACATTTTATTTTTTCCCGTATTTTCGGCCGGTTAGCAAGAAAAATAGTATACACTACACGGGCAGAAAGTGTGAGAGCCCTGAACTGCGCGCCATGATGCCCTCGGCTTCGCCTCGGGCATCATGGCGCGCAGTGCAGGAATCTCACACTTTCTGCCCTTGTAGTGTAATATACTATTAACTTTCTCCGTCAGACGTACGAAGTTAAAACTTGACGGACCGATAAAATGTCAAATTTTCGAATTATAATTGGACCAGTAAGAGCGCTTCCGAATGATCGGACTAACGGAAAAACGCATACATGAAAATTAATCTTTAGCCGTTAATTCGTAAGCGATTTTTAATTTTAAAAAATCAGTGGTTTACCCCTCGGTTCAGAGGCCTTGTGTAGGCTCCATGATTTCGTCGACAAAATCGAATTTCGAATAACTTAAATATTTCTAGAAATATCACGACATATAAAAAAACGAATTTGCCAAAGGTGGCCGAGTGACTGAATAATGAATCTACCTAAAAATCCCCTTAAAACTCCCCCAAATCGTTCAAAAAAACTAAATCTAGAGGGAAAACCCCTAATCTGGTAACACTGATTACATTTTCCATGGGAACACAGTTATTGGGTAAGCACAGTATTTTTTTAAATTTTACACACAACCAAAAAAAAGTTACGAATTTTTTAAAAACAATTGCTCTTTTTTTCAAACAACCATAACTTTTTAAAAAAATTGACTAAATGGGACATTTTTTTAAATGTTTTTGTTCCTTAAAAATTTCAATGTCAATTTCTATAAAAAATTCATTTTATTGAGAAAAACCGTTAATTTTTTAAAGTGCACAATTTTTATTTTTTTGTACTAAAGGCGCATTCATGCTAACTTAAAATAAGAAATAAGAATAAGAAATAAGATCGCGATTAATCGTTCATGCTGATAACATAAGAAATAAAAAATGTTGTCACACAATTATATTTTATTATAGTGGATTATATTTTGGCTATAAACGTAAACAATCAACAGCGACACTCAACGCGATCTCCAACACCATGGATCCATGGCCAGCACATAAAACCCATAAACCAGAGACATACCAATTTTGTCCTTTGCGCAGTTTTATACGCAAAAATAAGAACCAAAGTTAAAAGTTATTTATCTTTAGTCTTATTTCTTATTTTCATAAA